AAAATTCCTTACCAAAGCTCATGATTACCCACCCTCATTATCCCTTCCTTTTCTTCCTGCCTACTATTGTCTGTCTACCATGTACAGAAGATTCAGGCATACAGTATACTTGACAGAGTGCAAGGTCATTTCTAGATGCAACCTCAGTACTACAAATGCTTTGGCGCAAACCTGACCTCAGTGACTTTCTCCTTGGGGCTCAGCTTTTGTTGGCCAATCCAGTCCTCCCTCCCTTCCTAACCCTATCCTCAGGCAAAATCTAGTCACCTCCTTTAGTAACCTCCATTTCCACCATTTTTTTTTTTGGTACCAGGGATCAAACTCAGGTCCTTTCACTTGCGCAGCAGGCGGCAAAACCACTGAGCTAAATCCCTGGGCCCCATTTCCAGCATTTTAATCTCTGGGCAAAAATAACCTTTCCTGAGCATTTCTTAGTCTCACCCTCCCCCCTCCCTTCTCTAACACAAAGGGGCTGGCCTGAACCACTTTGAAACATCTTTCAGCCCTGCCCCTCACAGTTCACACCTTTGACGCCTATCCCTGCCTCCATGAGGCAATTTACTAAGGAGCCATCATGGCTAGGCAGGCCTCGCGATGCAGCAACCACCCATGCTCTGAAGGGAGCCTGTCCCTGAGGAATCTGTGGTGCACCCAAACAGACTTTCTCTAGTGCTTCTCAGTCCTGTCCCTTAGGCGCCACATGTCCCAAAAGATCCCTCTTCCTCTTCTCCTTGAACAACATCTATATCCAGAAATTAAAAATAAATATTCACATTGTCTCTGTCAGTTTGGGCTTCTATAACAAAGTACAATAGACTGGGTGGCTTATACAAAAGAAATTTATTTCTCACAGTTCTGGAGGGTGAAATCCAAGATCAGTGTACCAGTATGTTCAGGTTCTGGTGAGGGCTCTCTTACTGGATGCAGAAAGCCAAATTTTCCTTATATCTTCACAAGGTGGAAAAACAGCAAATAGCTTGGTGGCCTCTTCTCATAAGGGCACCGATGCCATCCATGAAGATTCCACCCTTATGACTAAATCACCTCACAAAGACTCTACCTTTGGATACCGTCACATTGGGCATTAGATTTCAACATGCGTTCTGAGGGGGGCACCAACATTCAATCCCCAACACACTTATTAACTTTAACCTCCACTTATTGCCTCTCATTCTGCCCCTTCTTATCCTCCCTCAGTTCCTAAGCTCACCTTTGCTTAATTTTCCCAAGAGATTTTTTTTTTAAAGTTCACCAAAATCAAAAAGGGGAAGGAATAACCAGTCAGGAACCCAAGTTCAAGGTTGGCTTCTGCTTTTTCCCAACTATAATCCTACAAGCAGTTTAATTTCCCTGGTCTCTGATTTTTAAATTTTATTATTATTACTATTTTCAGTACTGGAGATGGAACCTAAAGCCTTCATGCTGAGCTATACCTCCAGCCCTTTTTATTTTTTGAGGCAAGGTCTCACTAAGTTGCCAAGATGAGAGTCAAATTTATAAATATCCAGCCTCAGCCTCCCAAAGTGCTGGGATTACAGGCATGTACCACCACATCTAGCTAGATTTTCTTACATATAAAGTTTACATATAAATTTTATATATTAAATATATTTTTAATTATATATGCTCCACTTAGCTGATAGCATTATTGGGTTTCTGAGCCCCCACAGCCACTATAAAATGAACAGCTTGAGACAGCACTTTTGGGAAGTCCCTCTTAACTATGACACTGAAAATCCACACTTCTCTTATTGCTCATTTTATTATATGTGCTGCCAAAGCGAACACTCTTATTGCTCATTTTATAACTCAGTGATTTGTAATTCCCTGTCGGGGAATAGGAGGAAGCATCCCTAAGTTCTTTGTTTGTTTGTTTGAGACAGGGTCTCACTATGTAGTTCAGGCTGCCCTTGAACTCACTGTGTAGTCCAGGCTGGCCTCAAACTTACAGCAATCCTCCTGCCTCAGCCTTCCGAGTGTTGGGATTACACATGTGTGCCACCACACCTGGCATCTAAATTCTTAACCACTTTTTGAGGTGGGGATATTTGGTCACTCAGAGCTATTCAGCTCCTAACCCTAACCCTTCCATAATAACAATATTATTATTTGTTGAGTATTTGCTATTTCATCTATGATTTTATAGGTGAAATGTTGAAATTCAGACAGGTTAAATAATTGGCCCAAGATAATCAAGCTGTGATTAGGCCAGGATTATAACCCATGTCTGATGCAAATATACCTAAATAAATTAACTCATCAATTCTAAAATATGGACCTATCAAGGCATCAGCCTTTATTTCTTTTCTCTTCTGCTGTGGCCTCTAAATCCTATTCCTTTCCTGTCCAGGTTTCCCTATCTCCTTCCAGTCCCAGGATGAACTCTGCCATTTCCTAACCATGTGTATCTTCACATGCACTGCCCAGCACGGGGCCATCAACCAGGGGCAGGTATGAAGAGCTGAAATCCCAGGTCTCTGAAAGCAAGTGCCTGGACCTTGGCAGACCCACGGGAGAGGTGGGGATCCAAACCCTAAGAACAAGTGTCCTAGGGATGCAGTTTTTTCTCCTAGCTGGACTGGTATTCCTGGGTCCCTAATGCCCCATGCACAATGCGGATGCCCCCACCTACCATCAAGGAAGATGTGACAATGGCCACTGTGATGGGGTCACTACCTGATGTCCAGCAGTCCTGTCTTCAAATGACCATCACATGGCATCTGGGTCGCCTTCAGCCAGATATGGTGAGAAGGGACCCTGTGGAGAGGAAAATGATAGTTGGAAAAGAAACATCAGAGTGAGAGGCTGGGCTCTAGGTGCTTTTCTCTTCAGACTAGAAACTGACTGATCATTTTTTCTGTTTTAGGTACCTCTGGGGCATCACAAAGAAAACTATTTCTCAGGTCCCAAAGCCAAAGCTGTGCTAAGGCAATTCCAAACAGATCTGAAAAACCTGGAAAATGAGATTACAGCCCGGAATGAACAACTTGACCTGCCTTATGAATACCTAAAACCCAGCCACATAGAGAACAGTATCACCATCTAAGCCCTAAAGTACCCTGCTTGGATGATTTCAGATCAGCTTTAGGACTGACATTTCCATCTTGAATTCTAACGTTCCTAAGTCGTTGCTAAGGCTCTAATTCCTCCCCCAACTAAATGCTCTACATCAGTATCCCACTGGCCCAGAGGATAGTAAATATTTTCTGTAAAGAGCCAGATAATATTTTAGGCTTTGTATGCCACACTGTCTTTGCCATGATTGCTCAGTTCTCCCACTTTAGCAGCCACAATCTGTAAGCAAGTGTGATTATGTTCCAATAAAACTTTATTTATGAACATTGAGATATGAACTTCCAGTGCCAAAAAACTTGGCTTAATCAACTATCTAAAAAAGAAAGTGCTTTGTCTGAGCAACATGTATGGGCCACTGACTGGATTTTGTTATCTCCTACATTAGCCAAAGGCTTGACTCTACTTCCAAAACATGGCTGGTAGAAGGTAGTGATTTTTTTGGAGAAATCGGCTACCTCAGCTAACCAAACTCTTTTTTCCCAGGAACTAGATTCTATCCTTGGAGGCCAACTAACAAATTTCTGACTTTCTTCCTCAGTGATTTTTACCTCCATTCTTATTGCTCCTATTCAGACCCAGTACTAAGTGTCTGTGAATAAGAATAGTATTCCTAGCCCACAATTTAAAAACCTTTGTCCCAAATGGCTCCTTTCCCCAGACAGTCCCAAACAAAAATATGCAACTCATGTTTCAAGTCCACTTTCTCATCCCATTTAATGACCAATGATCCCTATGTGTTACTCATGGAACCCAGGTTCCATGTTTTCTTTCACAACCCTTTTAAGAACAATATGCACAAAACAAATGGGAAAATACCACAAAGTTATTCTAGCCCATGACAGTGTTTGGTTCTGGGGCCTCAGAATCAAAATGATCTCTCTCAACCATGCTGTGGTCCCTATTCTCACCAGCAGGGGTACAGCAAGCTCAGGGCAAAATCGTGTTCTTCACCTGTGGCTTCAGACTCCGTTAAAAAAAAACAAAAAACCTTCAAACACTCCTGTTTCCCTGAATATTGCAATTCTTTCACTAGTGCAATGCACAAACGTTTTTAGGAGGAGGCAGGATGACCCATTCGTATTTTTTAATCTTGTAGCTTATCTTGCTCAAAGGATCCACAATCACTTTATTTAGTAAACAAGTTGTACTTATTCCTTTTTCCACCTCATAGGGCAAGACCACTCACCTTCATAACTTGCTCGGAGTCTGCTTTCCCTGGAATTTTCCTAACCCTAAATTTTCCTGGATTCAGCATCCAGAACTAGTACAATAATCCAAGTGCAATGATAAAAATTATAGTATGTCAAGTGATGTTGCTTAACAGAAACATATTCACTGCCAAAGAACCCTCCACAATTTTAAGGCATTCTAGCTACAGCCGTATGCTTGGCCTCCGGAGGGGGTTTCTAGCTCCTTTTACCGTGTCAGAGTATCTATTTAAAAAGCGAGGAATGAGTAGAGACGCTACAGATGTACGCGCTCTCGAAGTAAATCTTCACGTCTCACTTACCATTTCCCCCATCACAAGGACCACCTGAAACTAAGGTACCCGAAGCAAAAAAGAAAAAATATTGTGACTCTAAGCCTTTTATCCTAACAGCCCTTTTACCCAAGTTACCAGGATCTCTGCCAGAGTTAGACGATTCTGGAGGCCTGGTTACTGCTAGCTCCTAGTCATGTGACTTGCCAGACCCGGTCACGTGACATTCAGTTCCTTCCATTTCAACGTGGAGGGGGAGAGACCAAGGAACAGGATTCTAGGTCTTGCAGTACTCACGCCCCCAGATATATACTGGTAGGTTGAGGGGCTTCCAGAGGGGCAGCTATAGTTTCAGACATGTGCACTCTCGCTGAAGCCTGAGGAGGACCGCGAGGCGTCCACCTTCTCCGCTGCCGCCCCCAACCGCCATGGTTGGAGCCGAAGGCCACGCCCTTTCAGCCAAAGCTGGCAGCGCAAGTCCCCAAATCCAGCCCGCTGACCCTTACGTATTCAAGGCTGCCGGTCATCGCCTTTTACTCGGCGCTGTCTCGGCTGATTCCCCGACTCGCTTCTTCATGGCGTCGCTCCTGTGCTGTGGCCCCAAGTTGGCTGCCTGCGGCATCGTCCTCAGCGCCTGGGGCGTGATCATGTTGGTGAGGGGACTGCTCACCGAGAATCGGAGAGGACCTGAGGGGCTCCAGGGTTAGAGGGAGGAAACACCGTGCCTTAGAAAGCAGCAAGCAGGCTGGCTAGCTGGCCACTAGGGAACAAGAGGGAAATGAGATTGAAAAATGGGGAACTGGAGAGGAAGGATGGCGAGGCTGAAGGATGGCGAGGCTGGAGCATGGAAAAGGAACCGGGGCTGGCCAATTGGTGGACTTTTCAAATTAAGAAAAAGATGAGCTAGGGTCCTGAGAGATCCCTGAGTTGGCGGCTAAGGGGGAACAGGAGTGCTTTTTCCCGAAATGAGTTACTGTGGCCTTCTGTCCCCAGACTACACTCTGCCACTTGTAGAAATAATATGAACTGCTGGTTGTCTCTAACCTCTTCCATCCTGTCCCGTGATAATGATGCCTTTAGGAAGGAGGATAGTCTGGGTTCCTAAAAAAGGCGGCTTGCTCATTATTCCCACTCCTGTACCAGCATGTTTCAGTGTCCCCTAGTCCTGATGGCTGAGGCCAGTCCTAATCCAGCTACAACTACTCCTACTTCTAGCTCGTTCTGGTTAATCCTAGGTCCAGGTGTTGGGGCAACATTAGAAATCAGAGAGGTTTAGGGAGGTTAGTGTCTGTGTTCATCAACCTTCCTGTTCCTTTTCAGATAATGCTCGGAATATTTTTCAATGTGCACTCAGCTGTGTTGATTGAGGACGTTCCCTTCACAGAGAAAGATTTCACGTAAGTGGTCAGATGGAAAAAGTGGGTCGGTGCAGGTGTGAGATAGCTGGGCCTATGGTAAAAATTATGGGTGGGAAATTGCCAGTGGCTGGATGTTTGGGACCCTGAAGTTAGAGAGCTGGGAGAGAAGAGCTACTGTCTATAGAAACAGTTAGGGTTTTGGGTGTAGCCCAGTGGTAAAATGTGTGCTTAACTTGCAAGGCCCCTGCCTGGATTCAAGCTTCAGCACAAAAAGAAAGAAAAAAAGAAATGGAATGTATTTAGGAGCAGTCTTGGAAATCAGGCTGTAGCAGCCATCCTAAACCTACCAATTTAAGTGTGGCCTCTTTAGGTATTTTACCTCTCTGATTTAGTCCACCTCTACCAAAGGGTTATTATAACAGAACTCATCCCATAGAGTTGTGGAGAACACCGAATACTGGTAATACCAGTAATAGATAGGCATGATGGAGTAAGCCTATAACCCCAGCAGTCTGAGAGGTGGAGGGAGGAGGATCATAAGTTCAAGCCCAGCCTGGACAATTTAGCAACTCACCAAGATCCTGTCTCAAAATCAAAAGCACTGGGGAGGTAGGTCAGTGTGAAGGCGCTGGATTTAATACATACTAAGTTGGGGGAGGAGAGAAGTAGCTCTTAGAATGGTGCCAGGGAACATATGCCTTGAAACTTGGTTGCTCTTAATATCTAAGGGTTGTCTACCTAATTCCCACCCTTAGGAATGGTCCTCAGAATATATACAAGCTTTACGAGCAAGTCAGCTACAACTGTTTCATCGCTGCAGGCCTTTACCTCCTACTCGGAGGCTTCTCTTTCTGCCAAGCTCGACTCAATAAGCGCAAGGAATACATGGTGCGCTAGAGCACAATCGTGTTTTCCTCTCTTCAGCCCCCTTGTCTATTTAAAGATTCCCCACCCTTCACTCGGGGCTCGTCCTGCCCATTGTGGCAGCCTCCGCGGGACTGGGTTTTCCTGGCAAGACTGAATCCCCAATTCTCCAACCTCAGGCGTCTGGCCCCAGTGGAGAGGGCTGGGGCTGACAACACCTTGTCTCTCCAGCCCTCCTCGCCTATTCCCTACCACAATAAAGAGAAGCTGCTCTCTTAAGCCTTGTGTCTATGTTTGAATGAGGAGGTGGGCATGGACTAAGGCTAGAAGTTGGCTCTAAACGGGGAGTCCCGACTCCTCGACGGAAATGGAGTGAAGCTGACCGGAAGTGAGGCGGTGTCTTCCACCTCTAGTCTCCCCAAAGCAATGCTTAAATGACTGCGGAAGCTGGGGCGGGAAGCGGCCCGTCTTGAGCCAATCAGCTGCTGCAAGGGCGGGACTTCCTGCGCGAGGGCCGGAGGGGCTCCGCCGTCGGGCTTTCCGTGGTCCCGGCTCGCGTGGTGGTGGTGGCAAGGCGTCTCGGTGAGGAGGTGCGAGGGGCCATGACGTCAGCGTCCACAAAGGTTCGACCTCCCTCGCGGACAGCGCTCCCTGGCGGTCTCGGGAGGGCGGGCCCCCGCTTGGCTCCAGGCTCTTCCGCGCCGGGCGGGGGGAGGGCCGAGCCTGGGGTGGGGCTAGGGGCTCCGGGCGGGACGGGACGGCGAGCGGGCTGCCCGCCGGCCCCCCGTAATGCTGCCCCGCCCCCAGGTCGGAGAGATCTTCTCCGCAGCAGGCGCTGCCTTTACGAAGCTTGGGGAGCTGACGATGCAGCTGCATCCCGTGTCCGACTCTTCCCCTGCGGGGTACGTGAGCCCGGGCTGGGACGTGGACGCCGAGAACGGACGCTTGGACCTGTCTCAGACATGGACCTTCTCTAGGGCAGGGGCAGATGTTAGTTTCTCTCTGTGCCTGTCACAGCGCAGAGTAGGTGTTGATAAGTGACTGTTGAAATTAGTAAGTGAATGACAAATGAAGAAGCAAAGTTCTACAACCCGGACTTAGATTTCACAGTTCAACCCGAGCCGACTGGCCACCACCACTACCACCACCCCAAATTATGTTATCCCCTCAATCTATTGTAGACTACGTTCAGGGATTCTGTTTGTAAGGCTTCTACTTGGTGAATTGGTTTTAGTGGGCTGTTTACAGCAGCTGTTGCAGTTTAATGAGGAAGAGGGTTTTGTAAGGGGGTGGTGGATGTAATTTCGTGTGGTTAGGGGTCCCTAGAGCTTTTTTAAAAAAGGAGTACCCTCCTTATGGATCCCTTGAAGGGGACCCAGAGATTGTGGGGAGGAGGCTGGTTGGCTGTGGAATGCATAGCCTGTGGGCTAGCTCCACACTCTCCTCCTGTTTTTCTGCTATCCATCCCCCCCCCCTTCTGACAGTGCGAAGTGGACGGAGACGGAAATAGAGATGCTGAGGGCTGCTGTGAAGCGATTTGGGGACGATCTTAATCACATCAGCTGTGTCATCAAGGAACGGACAGTGTGAGGGAGGGTGGCAGAGAAAGGGGGGTGGGCAGCTTTCTTCCTTCTTAACCATTCCATCTTCCTCAGAACTCCCAGCTCAGCATCCTTTCTACTTTTTGCTAGTTTTGGCAGCATTCCCTTGAGAATTGAAAGAATGTGAGAATTGTCACTATTGGTCAGTATTTTGTAAACTGCTGTAGTAAATCAGGATCTTCCAAGAATTTGAATTTAGGGTACCCTGAGATACTTGATTATTATATTTGATAATGGGAGTTCCCTGGTTATTTATATAGCACTAGTGTGTCCAGGGATATTGTATTTCTGAACTAGGTGACAGGTCTTGGTCTACTTGTAAATCACCTAGTCTTACCTGGTGGCCCTGCACATCTATACATATCTCCCAGAAGAGGATTGGAGATGGGCCTTATCAGTTACTCAGTTCAGGGACTCCACTCTTTCACACTCCATCTCCCCTAAGTGCTGAGAACCCTACCAAAAGGTTGGGGCCCTGACCAGAGTTCTTATAAAGGGGGTTCCAAAATTCCCACCCCTCCCTTTTTCCCTCAGCCACCCTGACAATTTCTTCTCTAATCTGTTGTCTTTTCTCTTCAGGGCTCAGATAAAGGCCACCGTGAAACGAAAAGTGTATGAAGACTCTGGCATCCCCCTTCCAACTGAGTCACCCAAGAAAGGACCCAAGAAGCTGTCATCTGGTATCCTGTCACCTCCTCCAGCTGCCCCTCCACCCAGCAACTCCAGTGTCCCTGAGGCGGGGGGTCCTCCCATAAAGAAACAGAAGGCTGGTGAGGGCCATGGAGTTGCACCTAGGGTAGGGGTTAAAGGTCCTATCTGAGGTTCTTTGAGAGAATTGGGCCCGGGTCAGAAATAGACAAATCTCTGTTCCTCTGCCTATCGTTCCCAGATGCAGGGAGGTAGAGCATGAAGTTTTGGAAAGCTGGGAGGGGCACAGTTAGGAGAACCTAGAACATAACCCTGTACCCCCTCCCAGATGTGACACTTAGTGCTCTGAACGACTCCGACGCCAACAGTGACCTGGTGGATATTGAAGGGCTAGGAGAAACTCCTCCAACCAAGAAACTCAACTTTGACCAGGGTAGGAGTCCTCCTACCATACCAGCTGGGATTGGGCAGGAAGTGCTGGCCTGATGGCAGGGGAGGGTCTCAGCAGAAGCTCTGCCTTCGTACAGGGGCTTGGGAAGGGAAGGGAAGGTGCTCTCACTGTGCAGGAGATTGGGTCAGTTAAATACCACAGCGTTTGGGGAGGTGGGTGTTGCCTTGGAAGCATACTTTGAGCTCTACATCTGGTCCATTTTACTTCCTGTTCTAGACAGCCTGACCTTGGATTCTGGCCTTCTCACAACCTCCACTGATGTTCCTCTACTCTCCTGCTGAGCCTTCCACCCCTGACCCTCACTGTTCACTCTGAACCTGTGGATTGCCTGGAACCCGAGCAAGGCCTGCATGAGAAAGGGTCAGAAGGCTGCTGAGGCCGTCTACTTGGCTGTTCCTGATAACTATCTGCTCCTAGCCCCTGACCTCTATCTAATGGACATTTTTATACATAAAATAATAAAGAACTCTTAGCACGGTGTGGTTAGAGGCTCCTCTCTCCCCTCTTCTTAGCCCACAGTCACTCAGCCCCTCCTGGGTGGCTCTCACCACCCTGCCTGGAGCAGCACAACCAATATTGGCAGACTCATTTCCCTGTGCCAATATTTCTGTGCTGCTAGAGCCAGGGGAGCTGGGTGTGGGCAACAAAGACCCCACTTTGCTATCAGGAGCCAGAATTTATTCCAGGGTCACTGGCAGTATTTCTGAGACTGCTCTAGGGATTTTAAAAGGGCTGTTCCAGGACTTTTAATACCCTCTTCTTCCCCACCTCAAAAGAAGTTTATCACAAGGCCCCAGATGTGTTTTGTGTTGCTTCTCCAGGGTGGCCTCCCAGGGCCAGGGCTCAGCGGTGCCTCCCCCACCCTCGCTCTAACACCACAGTGTGGTTTGGACGTGGCCACAGTGCCGTACAAACCACAGTGTGCTGCTGGGGCGGGAGCAGGACTGGGGTGGGCTGAGGAGAGCACAAAACAGTGCTGTAAAGACCCCTGCCACCAAGAACAGGGAGATAGAGAAGGCAAACATGGCCCTCAAAAAAGTTGGGGAAAGCAGGAACTAGGGACGACTTGAGCAGGCAACTGGAAGGAAAGGGATGTAATAAGATTGGATAATGAGTATAAGATTGGAACCGTCTTCCCTCCTTAGGAACTCAGCTCAGGGATCTCTAGTGTGGAGTAAGGCAGAGGAAATAGGGAATGACTCGGGGGGACCACCGAACTGCCTCCTGCCTCAGCAAGGGCAGGGATCCAAGGCTTCCTGTGTCCGTTTCTACCCTCCCTGGGTCAGAACCCAAGAGAAATGCTAGGAGAGACAGAGGGCCAAGGACAGCAGGGTTAGGAGTTGGCAGTCCAGAGGTGGTGGGGCAGGAACACGTCGGGCGGGGGGGGGGGCCGGAAGTGGCCCTGGGCCCTGGGCCTGCCACAAGATGGAGGCCAAAGGCAGAAAATGGAGGCTAGGGGGAGAGGGGAGCAGCAGGACCTAGAAGAGGGCCATCTGGACCTGGGGCCCAGGTATTCAAGCCTCAGTGCTGTTCCCACTCCCTCTTAGAACCCAAGACCCAGGTTCCATCCCCACAACAACACCCATTACCCTGTCCACCAGGCTCAGACAGGCGGGTCCACCCCTGAGAGCCACGTTTAAACTGAGACAAACACGCCTCTCCCCACCCCCAACCCTAGGCCTTCCCTTAGCCTTTTCCTCCTGTCCAGGACTTGATTTTTTAAAAGCACCTCCCAGAAAGCAAAATCCCTTCAGCAACTCAAAATAATTCCCTGTAAAACCCAGAAGTTACCTTCCCATATCCCCATCTCACCTTTTACCACCCTCCCTCCCGACACACCCCCCAAAACTCTTAGCAGCCAGGAAGATCTAAGATGGTGTATGTTAGCAGTCTTTTTAGGCCCCCGAGGATGCCAGGCTCCCTCCCCGATACCCCTATCTTTCCTATATCAAACCCTGCCAAGGCCTCCTGATCCTCTTTGCACCCTCCAGAACCCCCAAAACAAAAGCTGCCCCCAGCTCCACCCTCGGCAGAGCCTTTGTGGGGGTAAAAGAAATCAAACACTATCCTAACGGCTGGAGATGTTGAGGGCTCTCTGGTCTCAGGTTTTGGTTTCCATCTAAGGGACTACAGTTTAGGGGTGTAGAAGGAAGCCTCTTCAATAATCCCCCCAATTCTAAGACTGACAAAGCCCAACCCCACCCCAGCACGCACCTCCAAACCTCCCCCCCCAACCGCCACGTCTCTCCTGAGAACAGGGGACACTTCCCTCCCCACTTACCTCAGCTACTTTCCCCTGAGATCCTGGTCCCCTATTTTGAAAGGAGCAAATTTTGGGGTGCATCCCTCACATTTGGGGTGCAGGAGAAAGGAGCCGCCCCAGTCGCATCGTTGGCCTCCTTCCTCTCGGCTGGCTCAGGGACTGGGGAATGCCCTGGGGAGGGGGCACCCCCCCAAGAGAGCTCTGGAGGGGGTTCCTCCACTTCCAGTTAAAATTGGGGACACCCCCCCAAAACCTGTCCCAGCCCATCCGTCTCCAACTCGGCGGGAGAGGCAGCTGCAATGCCCCAGTCAGATTCCCCCAACACTACATTCCTCACCCTACCTAGAGGGGTCCCGGGGCCCCCCAAAAATCCCCAAAAAATCTAGGATGTTGGGAAGAGGGTCCTGGACTAGCTCCCCAAATTTGGGGTCCTTAGATACCCCCGTTTTTTCAGGAAAATTCTGTCTTTTGCCTGCCTCCCGCCAGCCCTGCTCTGTCCCGATGCCAATTTTGGAAGTCACTCCCTCCTTCCTCCTCCCCGGCCCTCCAGCCCCCCCACCGCTCGGGGGTTAGGGTCCAGGACACCTGGCTTCCAGACCGGGAGGGAGGCACTCCTCAGAGGGCTAGGGGCCAGGAGGTCAAGCTCATAGACCCTGTCTTAAGGAAGCAGTAAAGCCCGATCTTCCCTTCCCCTCCCCCCTGGCTGGTCTCCGTGGTGGTTTAGGAAAGCCTGGAGGATTGGAATCTGCCATTGCTATTGCACAGGCAGTTTTTTTTCCTTGGGTTGGGGGGGGTGTGGGGTGGGCGGTGGGAGGGAGAGAGGGGAGGAGAGCCGAAGACAGCGTGGACCCAGGCGGGAAGAGCTGGCCTGGCTTATCCTCTAGCCCCTGCTGCCGTTGGGAACCCCTCCCCCTCGGCTCACCCACACTCTCAGTCCTCTGTCTGCTTTCTGTTTGGGGCTCTTACCCTAGAAAATCAGGGTGCAGGAATCACCTCCTCTACCTCCCCCTTTCCTTGCCACAGTTCCAGCAGCACTGCCCTCTGGTCAGGGGGAGGGCACCCCATTTGCCTCCACCTTCTCCTAAGCTGAGGTATTCTTCCTTAAGAAGTTGGGGTTCGGAGTCTGAAACTACATTTTTCCCCTCAGATCTATCCAGACCACATAGTAAAAAGTTCATGATAAGACATCATTCCCTTCCCATATGCCTCCCTTCAAATTTTGGGCTTATTTGGGGGTTCACTAAAGAAAAATTTCTGTATTCTGGGGTGAGAGGGATCTATAAGTAAAAGATATTCCAAACCAGAAACGTGCACCAAACTAGGTGAACCTTCAAGTCAGTCTCACCCTATGATCCATCCCTCAGCTTCACCAGATGTGCCCAGTGAGTGACAAAACACCCTAAAATAAGGACACCCCAAAACTTCAGTCTTTGTCCTTGGAGGCCCTCACCTGTTTCTCCCCTTGGAGAAGAAGTTGGAAAAAGTTTCATGGCTATCCATGCATAGAGAGGAATATCCTCCCCTCAAAATAAGTTTCCACAAGTCTCAAATTTAAAAGTGTACCCCCTCAAAACTCCAACCACAGAAAGCCTTCAAACTTATTCCCAACTTCCTATTATGTTCCACCTCAGTGATTTTGTTTTTAAAAATCCAAATTGAATTTTATCTCCAACAATCTAATCTGAACCTTGAAATTTATACAGCACCCCAAAACAGGCTGTACCCTAAAATCAGCATGAGTATTCTGACTCTCCTGATAGTCCAAGGTAACAGAGAATAACACTGTCTCCGAATGGTGGGTATCAAAATGCAAAAAACTAGTGCAGCTTTGACATCGGCTCCAGGCCTCAAGCTTACCTCAAGGCTAAATACAGGCCACACTGATATAACAATCAAGTCAACCCAGCACCTTATCATAAACAGCACCCAACTGACCAGCTAACACTACTGTGATACCAAAGGGAGCCCTATTCTAATTCTCATCTCCAGGCAGAGACCACAGTAACCCTCACAAGCCAAAGCCACCTCACCATACTGAATCCTTACTAGTCCCCAATTCCCTGGTTCTCTTTCGTATCCACACGAAGATACACGCAAATTTGTACAGGATGGCCACAGGCCTGGCTGTGCAGCTCCATGGCCACTGCTGTCATTCCTGGGCAGTTGTGTATACTCCTGAGCCCAAATTCAAAGGGCTCCTGCTTTGCAGCTACACCAAGCTCTGGCCCATCTTCTCCAGATGAATCTTGTCCTCAATCCCAAATCTCCCCCAGAATATATGGGCGTGTGGCTTGTGCCTATCTCCCAGATGAGGGGATTAAATTATGGTTTCCAGGCCTCTCCTATCCTCTCTTCCTCTTCCTTGTTTTTCTGCTCTCTTATTTATCCCACGAAAATTCCATATTAATGGCCACTAAAAATTCAACTCTTAAAACATCTATATAACAGTAGTTACTTTAATTAGAAAAGAAAACCCTGTGCCCTCAGGCTCAAGCCCCACTACCTATCACATCCATTCTCTCATTCCCAAAGCCCGCGGATTTTCCACCTCAGTAGGAATTCCAGCCACAGGGAATGTCCCCGTGACCCCTAACTCTACTTTCCTCTGTCTAATATCCCGCTAAGAGACAGAGGTGCAAAATAAACCATCGCAGAAGGTTTCAGCCGCCCAAACCAAATCCATCCTGGGCCCCGCAGCCCCAGCCGGGTGGAGACGACTGGGCGAAGCGAGGCTAGGGCTCGTCCGCCCCCTCGTGGAAGGAGCTAGACATTGCGGAGCTTTGCCTACTTGCAGCTCTGGACCCCCGGTGTCCCGCCAGCCTCAAAGCGTAGGCTACCGGCGGGTGCTCGAGGCCCTAGTGAACTGGGACTGGGGGGACAGTGGACGGGGGTCCGTCTCTCTAGATCCCTAAAAGGACTCAGAAGGGAGGCGGGAGTGAGAGGCCGGACGCCTAGGTCTCCTGAGCGTCTCTCGGCCTCCACCCGGGGCTTTCCCCACCTTCTCAAGGGGAAGCAGCTGGCGGAGCCGTCCGGTCGCAGGACAATAGAAGGAAACCAACTAGAAATCATATCCGCCCTCTGCCTGCCCCACCCGGCCAGAGCCCCCTTTTTGTGGGCTTTGCTGGAGGTGCCTGTCATTCACACCACACCCTCCCACTAAGACCCCACGGGAGCCCACTAGCCCCTCCTCAAACCTGATACCTCATTGGGTTCCCCCTTTCCTTCTGTACAGAGTACATGGGAAGGGAGAATTTCGCTGCACTTTGTCCTCACCAGACTGCTGGCACCCCCTTCCAAACGCCAACACATCCATTGTCGCTGCCCCAGGTCCGACGACGACCCAGGGCCTCCCCATTTTCAACCTCGACATCCCTAACCTCCTCCGCTATTCCAATAGCCTCATCCTCGGGTCCACTTTTAGGGACTCAAAGACCGGTCCGTAACGACCACCCTGCATTTCTGAGGTCCCGCCTTTGAGACGGAGACCGCGCCCCGGGCTCGCCATCTGGAGAGAGAGGGAGGAAGGAAGGATACAGACCCAGGCGTTCACCCCACCTCCACCCCCGCCCCCGACATCCCGGCCGGATAAAGGAGCCCAGACCCAGAGGGGAGCGAGACCCCGCCCCCCGAAGAAGAGGAGCTGCAGCCCCTGCAGGACGGGGGTAAGAACCGACCACTGAGGGGACCGGACTTCAGGGTCCCTCAAAAGGGAGACTGAGTCCCAGACAGTGCGCTAAACTAGGATCGAGGATTAGAGAGGACTGCAGAATCCCTGTGGTTGGTGAAAGGAGCTTCGAGTCGGATTTATAGAGGTGTGAACTGCGGGTCGTCTGGGGTCCCTAGGCAAGGTCAAGCTCTGAGACCCAGGCGCGCAGCGGAGCAGGGGAAAGGGAGTCGGGTGGTGGAGGAGGAGGAGGAGTCGAACCAGCGGCGTCGCGCGCGTCGGACTCCGCGCGCGCCCCAGGGACGCAGCGGTGAGGACGGACCTTCACCTACTCCGAGCGCTCTGGGATCTTGCAGAGGGAGAAGAGCGGTGGCGCGTTTGGGAGCAGAGTGAGCACGATGGTTTAAGTGGGGCTGAGAGTGCTGGGCCGGGGTCCTTTCGAGAGGAAAGGGTAAGCACAAAAGGGAATGTGTCTTAGGACTGTCTGGATCCCAGAGTCTGTGCCTTGGCACCCACAGGCCTGCGTCGCGATGGGTTCCACCGCGGCACCCGAAGGCGCTCTGGGCTACGTCCGCGAGTTCACTCGCCACTCCTCCGACGTGCTTGGCAATCTGAACGAGCTGCGCCTGCGCGGGATCCTCACTGACGTCACGCTGCTGGTTGGCGGGCAACCCCTTCGAGCACACAAGGCAGTTCTTATCGCCTGCAGGTTCGAGGGGAGAGGTTCTTGGGGAGGATCAAAAGGGAAAGAGGCAGAGCCATAAAGCCCTTGGGGGAGAATGCAAAGCCAAGTCTTCCAGGAGCCTGAGAGAAGCTGCCCCAAATGGGGGAGCGGGGTGATAGTGGAGGCGGGACTTTCTAGGGGGCAGGGTTTTCTGAAGCAGCAGGTGTCTTCCTTGAGCTCCCAGCCCCTAATGACTTATTTGCCCTCTCTCTAGTGGCTTCTTCTATTCAATTTTTCGGAGCCGAGCAGGAGTGGGGGTGGATGTGCTCTCCCTGCCCGGGGGCCCCGAAGCCAGAGGCTTTGCTCCGCTTCTGGACTTCATGTACACTTCGCGCCTGCGCCTCTCTCCTGCCACTGCCCCAGCCGTCCTTGCGGCTGCCACCTACTTGCAGATGGAGCATGTAGTTCAGGCATGCCACCGCTTCATCCAGGCCAGGTGAGAGAGCCCTCGGCTCCATGTTCATGGGTGAGGTGGTGACCCAAGTGCTGAGGCTAAAGGCAATGATTAGGAACTTGAACTAATCTCCATCACACTTCCCAGCTATGAACCTCTAGGCATCTCCTTGCGACCCCTGGAGGCGGAGCCCCCTACACCACCAACGGCCCCTCCACCAGATAGTCCTAGGCGCTCGGAAGGGCACCCAGACCCACCTACTGAATCTCGAAGCTGCAATCAAGGTCCCCCAAGTCCAGCCAGCCCAGACCCTAAGGCCTGCAACTGGAAAAAGTACAAATTCATCGTTCTAAACTCTCAGGCCTCCCAGGCAGGGAGCCTAATGGGAGAGAAGAATTCTGGTCATCCTTGCCCTCAAGCTAGGCTCCCCAGTGGAGATGAGGCCTCCAGCAACAGCAGCAGCAGTGAAGAAGGACCCATTCCTGGTCCCCAAAGCAGGTACAGAATCTGGAACCCCACGAGCTTGTAGACACTGGCCTCAGCAAGAAGCAGAGCCATTGGGTCCTTGTGGTTAGGAGACAGGGAGATGGTGGGTGGGTTTCAGAGACACTAGCCCACCATACAGAGTTTACCAGAGCCCAAGCTGAGTCCATGGGATGGCACTTTGACTCATCAGTCAATATTAGTTCACCTCCAAGATAGACTTTTGCCTTCAAGTTCTCCAGGAGGGAAAACCCTTCCCCATATAATCTCTCCTAACCTTTTCTCTGCGCCTTGCCATCTGCTTAGACTCTCTCCAACTGCTGCCATTGGGCAGTTCAGATGTGGAGCTCCAGCCAGTAGCCACTATCTCCTCACACTCCAGGCTCAGGAGACTACTGGATCACCCTCTGAGCAGGCTCGACCACCACCAGGTAAGAGCATTTCTTTTCACCCTTTCCTCCTGTGGCTGCTTCAGGTCACTTTGGATCAAAAGTTTTCAAGAAAGGCCTTCTAGTGATTTCTAAACTTTACTGTAAATTAAAATCACTTGGGAAGCCTTTAAAACTCCCATTACCCAGATCACATACCATAGATCAGAATATCTGGAAGTGGCGATCAGGCATTGATTTTTTGGGGTTATTTTCTTCAGCATCGGTATTTTTGGCATCAGTTTTTTTTTCTTTTGGTATGGGGGATTGAACTCGGGAACTTGTGCTTGCAAGGCAGGCGTCGGAACCACTGAGCTAAATCCCCGGCCCTACATCAGTATTTTTTAAAGCTCCCCAGGTGCTTCCAGTGAGCAGCAAAGTTGGAATTTTTGGCCTATCCCCATCCAAGGCTGAGTGGTCTGTGCAGGGCTTGTGGCAGGGTCCCTCTGGCAGGCTGTCATCTCCAGTGGTGCAAAAGAGAAAAATAGAACCATTGGCCCACTAGCAGGGGCTTCTACTTACCACCACTATTGAAAAAAATAGCATAGTACTCTGAATTGAAGAGATGTGGAATCCCATCTTGGCTCACCACACACACACACACACACACATACACTCCACCCTATACTGGAAACTGAACCCAGGGCAACCTCCCCAGCACATTATTTTTTTATTTTGAGACAGGATCTTGCTAAGTTGCCTAGGATAGGCTTGAACTTTCAATCTTCCTGCCTCGGCAGAGGCACACAGAACGCTGGGACCACAGGGCTACTTGGTTCACTTGACTGTCTTCTTCCTAACCTTATAGCTTTGGGCCGAGGAAGGCTTCACAGTAAACTGGGAAGAAGAAAGCTTACTGCTGTGCGGTTTGAGGATTCACCAGTACCTAAGAAGCTCTCAATAAATAAACTATAGTTGTTACTCACACATCCCTCTCCCCTCCCTTGCCAGGAAGTGAGTTTTTCAGCTGCCAGAACTGTGAGGCTGTGGCTGGGTGCTCATCGGGGCTGGACCCCTTTGCTCCTGGAGAGGAAGATAAGCCTTATAAGTGTCAGCTCTGTCGGTCTGCCTTCCGCTACAAAGGCAACCTGGCCAGTCACCGCACAGTGCACACAGGTAGGGGAGGAAAGGACCTTGGCCTTGGTGCCCACCGCTCTCACATGGTAACGTCCCTGACCTGTCATTCGCCCTGCTTGCAGGGGAAAAGCCCTACCATTGCTCCATCTGCGGAGCCCGATTTAACCGGCCAGCTAACCTGAAAACGCATAGCCGCATCCATTCTGGAGAAAAGCCCTACAAGTGTGAGACTTGTGGTTCCCGCTTTGTACAGGTAAGAAGCCAGTCTGGAGAGCTCAAAGGCTAGAGGCTGGGGTGGGCTAACAAAGGCTTCTGACCCTCCCAGAGGTGTGGTCTGAAGGCTCCTCTCCTCCCAGGTGGCGCATCTGCGAGCACACGTGCTGATCCACACTGGAGAGAAGCCCTATCCTTGTCCCACCTGTGGAACCCGCTTCCGCCACTTACAGACCCTCAAGAGCCATGTTCGCATCCACACGGGAGAGAAGCCTTACCACGTGGGTACCCAGAGTGGCCCAGCCTTAGAATTACCTCCCCATTAGCTAGGGGTGGGGCTTTGAGAGGAATAGGCTTGGTGCCCCTAGAGCACTAGGAAATGGGTTGCAGCTTGAAGAGTCCAAGTGAGAATGGAGCAGAGAGGGGGTGGGGTTGGGATGGAGGTAGTTACACCTCAGGAGTGAATGCAGTTTTCCCCGAAGAGGAGCTAAGGAGTGGGAAACATTTTCCCAAATAAAGCAAGACCAATCTCCTCAGCAGCTCTGAGGATTTAGGAGGATGTAAGGGCCAAAGACCTAATTTTCAGTGGGAAGCTGGACAGTTCCCCCTCACTCAACTCTTAAGTTGTAAACTAGAAGTGACCTGACCCAGCTGTCCTCCCTCAGTGTGACCCCTGCGGCCTGCATTTCCGGCACAAGAGTCAACTTCGGCTGCATCTGCGCCAGAAACACGGAGCTGCTACCAACACCAAAGTGCACTACCATATCCTGGGGGGGCCCTAGCTGAGTGCTGGCCCACGCCCCCACTTGTTCCCTGGAGGATGGGAAAATGTAGGCTTTGGCCTGGCTTCCAGTCAGTCTTGGGACAGGGCTGTGCAGGACAACTCTGATGTCAGAAACTGCTGCCACCTTAATTTCTTGCTGGGGAGAGCAGGGGTGGGCAGATCCTGGCTAGATCTCCCTCTGTTTTGCTGGTCAAAACCTCTTTCCCATAATCTAGTTTGTCTAGCTAGAGGTTGGAGGAAGGGAGAGAATGGAGGCCTGATTTCCTTAAGGAAACAGCCCTCTTCTTACAGCCCCCAATCTCATCTGGTTTATCTGTAAATATAATTTATTGAGGCCTTTGGGTTTCACCAAGGCCTTCATTCTGTGGCATTTCCTAGTTCCCTCTTCTACAAGTGTGATCAAAAGTGACCTGAAACAGGGAAAGTGAGGTCACAGCTCTGCTGGCAGAGATTAGCACTTGGCTTTCTCCTTTGGCTTGGGTGTTTTTATATTGTTATTGTCATAACTTTTATCTTTAGAATTGTTCTGTTTCTTGTTTGTTCACGTGTTGGTTAAGAAAGGGGTTCTCTGTGTTCTGCCCCTCCAATTTCTAGGTCTGGAACCTTTATTTGTTCTTGGGCAAGCCCTGGGAACTTGTGGAATTGGAATGGGAACCCTTTCTGTTACTCTCTAGCAGGCTAGAACTGAATATAGACCAGTGATGGTGAACCTTTTAGAGCTTTCAATGATACAAACAACCCACTGTGACACCTATGCCATAGGTTTGCCACCACTGACATAGACTCTTCTTTGTTCTTCAGGGGTTATAGAAACCTTTATTGTGAGCCTGAAATTGAGGTGATAAATGCCTCCTGCAGGATGGGGGTGTGGGCACTGGATTCTGTATTTCCTGTTTTGTTTTGTTTTTTAAAGACACAGTCTTGTTCTGTAGTCCGGGGTGGCCTTGAACTCAAGATCCTCCTGCTTCAGCCTCCTGAAGTGAGGCTGGTAGTCTTTCCTACAAGATGGTTCAGAACCTAAACTGTCCCATTAACCTAGTCACCTGGGTTTGGCTGCACTATATGCATCTATCACCCAAGTGTATAAGTCAAGCCCATAAGTCTTCCACTTGGGCCTGTTCTTAGCACTGAGTTGATCCCTCCATAGAGAGATCTGAAATGCCTTATCAGAGATGATGTGACCTTTTCTGATTCCAAACCAGTTTGTAAGAATATTGTGATCTAGGGGAGAATTATGAAACTCTGTACTTTAAAGAGTCATGACCCATCCATTAGTGCAGAGGTGTCTGGGTTTGAATATTCCTTGATGTTCTCTACCTGTGATGATCCCCTTCTTCCTTGTTTTTGGACATCTTTCCGAAAGTGTCCAGGTTCCAGAAACAACTTCTTTGTCTCTAAAAGTCACAAGTCCTTGGTAACTTTCTTACCTTAGAAAAGCTGGGTCTGTAACATAGTGTTCCTATCACTGCATTCCTGTCTGGAACCAGTGAATGTACTAGAACCTTCCACAAGAAGAAAAAAGGGGCTGAGTTCCATTCTGGGTTTGTTGAAGTTTTGGATTATGATTGGGATTATTGTTGGGATTACAGATTTAAGAGACCTAAAAGACTGGTTGACTCATGGGCCAAAGACCTCTTCTAGTTGACCAATCTGCCAGGTAGGATGAAGAGGCTGGTTGAGGGCTACATCTTCTGGTATAGACCAGGTAGGAAGAAAGTTAGAAATGGTGTTGCCTCTTGGCTAAAACGAAGTGTCTGGAATGTTAGATAATACTTTGAAGCCTTGATTTATAGTTCAGACCCTTGTTGCCCTGGACCTATTTGATGGGACATGGGTGGAGGATAAGAAGCACTTTTGAATTTGTGGTGTGGAACTCCTCAAGTCAATACTAGAGGATGTCACTTGGGGACTGGTGAGAAAGCTATTTTCTTTATGCATTTTAATTCCCATCACCCCATTGCAGAATTGAGGAACGGAGGGAAAGTAAAAGAGAAATGTGAGAAGGAACCATGATTTCTATTTATCAGAATGGATGGGCAGGTGAAAAGTGCCTGGGGATGGAAGTATTAGATCTTGGGAGATCAGAGCCTTGGAATAAAGAAGCCTCTTTGTTCTACTGCTGTGTCCTGGATTCTTGCCTGGGGGTATCTGGGTCTTGGAAAGAGATTTCTTCCCTCCTGAATAGTATCTGGGATTCCGTACTCATTTTACTATGCTATCCCACCAGACATCTTAAGTATTCTCCCCTCCCAGCCCTTGCTTTCCGGTATATTGTGTAGGAATCAGTGACTTCATGAAGTTTCTCCGGAGCCACCTGCATCCTGCTAGTCTGAAGTCACTTCCTGCCTGAGGTATGGAGGCAGCAGGGAGAAACTAGGAAGCTACTAGTAATACCAAGAGATGGGGGATGGATGTTTCTCTGCTGAGGATCTTAATTTTGGGGACACTGTACCATCACCACCAAAGAAATGGGTAGGACTTGGATGCCATAAGGACAACGGGGTCTGGAGGCAGCAGTGAGAAGACCGAGTAGTTGAAAGCCAACATCCCAAGTCCAGCTTTGTCTTAGCAATAGTATCTTAGAATCTATTCAGTGTACAGTGCATGTGCATCTCTCAACCTTTCCTCTGTCCTATGTGTCTCCGGGGTGCACAGCTCTGTTCTTGCCCATGAGCAGAAATCACTAATTCTAATGGAATCTTTGTTTAGGCCTTAAGTCCCTCTTCTATGATCAAAACCAGTTAACATGGCCTTTGCAGTTCTTCCCAGTGTTACAGGTTGTGATTGTGTTTCTTAATCTTTTAAAACCCAAGAACTGGATTAGACATTAAAAAAACACTCCCAAACTAGTTTAGAACCTTATTTGCTTCTCACTACAGCTGTTGAAAGTAAGACCAGCTTATTACTTATCCTGTGCTACATGTCATACCCTAAACTAAGCATTTTAATGTGTGGATTTACTAATTTATCACCCCTGGCAACCATTAAAAAATTAGGCAGTATTATCCCCAATTTACAAATGGGGACACCAATTGAGAGCTTCAGTATCTTGACCAAGCTAACAAGTGATGAAGTCAAGATTGGAACTGTGATCATGCCCAGACCAATTTGCATCTGCCAGTGTTTTGACTTCACTTATAACACATCTAGACAGCATTTTGGTATGATTTTTATTTCTTGTATATGAAATTATAACGCTCAACATGTTTTTAAAAAAACTACACAGGGTCATTTTTTTTGCATCTTTCCCCAGTAGTCTGGGTATGAACTCAAGTCTAAAATCAGGGTCCTGAGGAGCTTGAGTTACAATGAAGGAACAGGAAGTGCAAGCCATTAGCGCTTTTGGGTCTGGTGTTGGGCAGGGGAATGCTTGTTAGGGGCCTGGGTTGGATAGGAGGGCCTGACTGAGGAGGGGCTGACTGTTCCAGTGGACACAGTCATAGTTTGTCTCTTTACCCTATCATGAGATCAAAAACTGTGGGTAGGAAATGGCTGTTATTAGAAGGTAGAGAAAAATGTCCCAGCCCCGATGAGGAAGGGGTAGGTGGTGTTGGTGGAGCTTTGTGTGAGCTTACAAGCGCCCTTCCTTTCCCTCATTTATTTTTGGTCTCAATGACTTGTAGATTTCCTGTTAGTGGGAAGAGAAATGACAGGAACGAGTTTTCATCACAGAAATGAAGGCGTCCAACCACCCATTTCTCTCCTGTTTTCCCAGGGCCTCTGAACTTCTCAGGGATCCAGGCATCTACATTTTTCAAGGCTGCCTTACAGTATTTGGTTTAAAGATCTCACAACCTCTCCCCTCCTCTCACCACGGCCTGGCATTTCCTGAACCCCTCATTAAGCAAGTAGTGAGTGCTTATCTCTCCAGAATCAGTTTATCCACCACCTATCCTTAAGTGTAGGCCTTGCTGCTGAAAAATAGACAAACCGGGGCTACAATAGAAACTAGACTACTGCACCTTCACCATAGATCCCTGCATCACGTGGGGCCCTATGCAGCCGTCCTCCTCCCGTCCCTCTTACGCATGCGCCCCACTCACTGCCTGTCCTGAACAGTGCTTTAATCCCGCCCAGCCCTTCTGGCCCCGCCCCCTGCTCAGGAGTACGCTCGTCCTCATTGGCAAGCTACGGACAGGATGTCTGCCCGGTGGGGCAGGTGCTGATATTCACAAAGATAACACAACCCACACAGAGACTGGCTTGCGTCTGGAGCCTGGGCCAAATCCAGTTTGGCTCCCTATTCCTTAGTCCAACACTGGGATCCGCCTGTAGTCTCAAGCCTGGACTCGTAGCTGCGGGCCAGCGGGGCCACGCCTCCGCGCTGGGGCCCCGGGCCGGCCCTGGCCTGCCCTAGTTTCTAGGCGCCTAGGTCCTAGGAGCCTCGGGGAAGGCGCAGGCGCCTCACACGCCTTCCTATCAGCCTCCTCTCCTCTCCTAAGCGGCCCCCGACCCCGCCGCCGCCCTGCAGGGTGCATGGGTGGGTGGGCTGAGGTGACCCGTCCAGAGCCCAGCTCCCGCAGGGGCTGTTAGTGGCGGTAACCCGGTTCCTGCCCAGATGGCGGGCAGAGCCGAGCCTCCAGATGGCGGCTGGGGATGGATGGTGGTCCTCTCGGCGTTCTTCCAGTCCGCGCTGGTGTTTGGGGTGCTGCGTTCTTTTGGTGTCTTCTTCGTGGAGTTTGTCGTGGCGTTTGAGGAGCAGTCAGCGCGTGTTTCCTGGATTGCCTCCATAGGAATTGCTGTGCAGCAGTTTGGGAGTGAGTGTTGCACCTGGTTCCAGTGTCCCGGGACCCTGGGAAAAAAGAGTATTGAAGGAGAAGGAAAGGCAAGGGTGAGGGGTTGGGAGGGTGCTGGGGAGGGCGCCCACGACCCCAAAGAACTCTCTTCCGCTTCCCCAGGTCCAATAGGTAGTGCCCTGAGCACGAAGTTTGGGCCCAGGCCTGTGGTGATGACTGGGGGCATCTTGGCTGCGCTGGGGATGCTGCTGGCTTCATTTGCTACCTCCTTGACCCACCTATACCTGAGTATTGGGCTGCTCTCAGGTGAGATTCTGGGCAAGGGCAGGAGAGCCAAATGGCTGGATCTTTGGCCCCTTGATTTTCATTTTCTTCCTGCTCCTTGCAAAAGGCTTAGAGAGTAGAAAGATTGGCTCGCACTTGTGCCTTGAAGGCAATTCTTAGGAAGAATGACTAAATTGATAAAGAGGGTGGGAAAATTAGGAAAGCCAAAGAATGATGAATGTCGAGTATATAAGCCCAGGCTAGTGGGAATGGAGTGCAAGAGAAAGAATATCTATAAAATTGTGCTAGGCACTGTGACTGTGAAATAGATATCATTAGCCTATGTATAAAGAAAGCCTTTCAAAGATTACACAACTTGACAATGGAAGGTTACACCGCTAGAAATGGTAGAGCTGAGATCTAACTCCAAAGTTCTGTGCGAATTACTTTACAGACCTCTCTAGTTTTCTCCAGTCCCATAAAGTGTATTAACACTATGTATTTTGCAAATGAGTAGACTGAGGCTGGGAAAGTAAGTTAAACATACAAAGTCATCCAGCTGGGAAGTGTCAAGCCAGGACTATAACCCAAATCTGTGGGACTCCAAAGCAAGGTCTTCATTCTGCTGGTGGTAGTGTTGTGATTACTGGGTGCCCTGAGCTCCCCTCTAAAGTCTTCAACCCCCATTTCTTCCTCTTTGACAGGCTCTGGCTGGGCCTTGACCTTCACTCCGACCCTGGCATGTCTGTCCTGTTACTTCTCCCGCCGTCGATGCCTGGCCATGGGGCTGGCACTAACAGGAGTGGGCCTCTCCTCTTTTGCATTTGCTCCCCTCTTCCAGTGGCTGCTCAACCACTATGCCTGGCGGGGGGCCCTACTGATGGTGTCTGCCCTCTCCTGCCACATTGTAGCCTGTGGTGCTCTCCTTCGCCCACTCTCCCTGGCTGAGGACACTGCTATGGGTGGCCCTGGGGCCCAGCTAACCTCCCTCCTTCATCATGGCCCCTTCCTCCGTTATACTGTTGCCCTCACCCTGATCAACACTGGCTACTTCATTCCCTATGTCCACCTGGTGGCCCATCTCCAGGACCTGGGTTGGGACTCACTGTCTGCTGCCTTCCTACTCTCGGTGGCTGCTATTTCTGATCTTGTAGGGCGTGTGGCCTCTGGTTGGATGGGAGATGCAGTCCCAGGGCCTGTGGCACGACTTCTGATGCTCTGGACCACCCTGACTGGAGTGTCACTAGCCCTTTTCCCTATGGCTCAGGCTCCCACAGCCTTGGTGGTTCTGGCTGTGGCCTACGGCTTTACATCAGGGGCCCTGACCCCAGTGGCCCTCTCCGTGCTACCTGAACTGGTGGGGACTGGAAGGATTTACTGTGGCCTCGGACTGTTGCAGATGGTAGAGAGCATTGGAGGACTGCTGGGGGCTCCTCTGTCAGGTAAAGGGGATGGGGTTGCCTGGTGGGCTAGGGCTGCCATGTTGCACAATTGGGGGAAGGAACTATTCCCATTATAGTGTATGTGAATATTGCTCTCTGGTGTGGTACAGTATACAACCCACATGATCAATCACAGCAGCCCTGAAATGGGCCCATGGGACAAAGAACCTGAAACTCAGAAGGTTTCAGTGGAGAGACAAAGAGGAGCTAAGTGGAACCCTTGGTAGGGTACATACACCCTGGGTTTTCAGAGGACCTAGCTGGACCTGGCCTGACATAGCATTCCACTGTCTTCCTTTCCTTTGCCCTACTGGGCCCTTGCCCAGGTGCTCTGAGCCATCTGGTTAAAGTTCTCTAGGCTCAAAATACCAGACCTTTAACATCTTCCCCTTAACTATTAACTGAAGGTGTAGATAGATCACAGTTGCTGGAAAGAAACCCACAGGTATGCCTGACTTAATCTGGATCACAAATCCATACTGTTATCTGGGGCTGGTTTAAAGGTCCTTTCTGAAGGCAGGAAGGTGGTTGAAATTACCTTGTGGAGCCCCAAGGGAAACCAGAGTTCTCACATTCATCCAACCCTAACTTGGGAGTTCCAACTCCTCTAAGAGCAAGATAGGGAGTTTTCTCTATGCTCAGAAATGAGCCTGAGCTGCCTGTACCAGTGAACAAATCACTCATGCATGTGTATTCTTTTTCTCTCTTGGACCTAGGGTACCTCCGAGATGTGACAGGCAACTACACAGCTTCTTTTGTGGTGGCTGGGGCCTTCCTTCTTGCAGGAAGTGGAATTCTCGTTACCCTGCCCCACTTCTTCTCCTGCTTCTCAGCTCCTACCTCCAGGCCCCAGGATCTTATAATAGAGGCACTAGATACCAAAGTCTCCCTGCCCAGGGAGGAGGGGTTGGGAGAGGACTAAACTCCACCAAGAGGCATTCAGTCCCCCAAAACCAGAGCTTGACAGCTCCAGGTCCTTCTCCTGCCTTAACAAGGCATCCATAGAAACAAAGTGCCTTAAGATTCTTGATCTGCCTTGCCCAGACCAGGCCTGGGGCTCCTGTGATATGTGTGCCAACCCTTTGTATTTTGTTGAGGACTCTCATGTTTTTCCTCCTTTGCTTTCCCAATCTTTTCTGAAGGATCCCGGAGGTCCTGCTCTACTGAGCTGTGAATCAACTGTGAGAATCAAAGAGACTTTTTGTTTTACATGTGATTCCTAGTGTTGCTCTTAAAGTTTCCTCTCCAAAGACAGATGTTTGAGAAACAAGGATGTCCCTTTGGGATAAAACTGAATAAGGAAACTGGACAATAATCATAACCTCAAAAAGATCTGGGGCCCATGTACTGATGGAGTCATGACTGTGTGGGAGGTCAGGTGTCCAGGAACTCTGGCAACCCAGTGTTCTGTCCTCCAATCCACTTCCCCACTATTCCTTTGACTTAGAAAAGAAATCAAGAGAATCACAAGATGACAGGGTGTATGCATGCATGTGGGGGGGGGGCATAAAAAAGCTGAAGTTTGAACCTAGGGTCCTTGTATTTCCCTCAAGCCAATAGAGGGAAATTGAAAATGCAGGAAAAAGTTAAGTTTGTGGGGTCTGGATACTCAAGTAAGAGAAATGAAGATGAAACAGATGGTACCGACAAGCATCTCTCCCCTGATCTCCAGCAAACTGACTGACTGGCAGACCTCTCCTCAAAGACTCCTGTTATGGCAAGGACATGGGCAAAGAGAAACGGATTGGCTGGGCAGACACACATTCTTCCCCGCCCTCAGGGCTACTGGGGTCCTGTTCCTTTCAGCCAGCCTTTTGGGAGATCTTAAGTAGAATATTTTAAAGGTCCTCAGTTGGTTAACAGTTGGAGCTTTCTGGAGCATCAGATAAAAATTTTTTATTGAAAGGAGGGGCTTAAATGAGACAAGAATCAACAAGTGGTGTCCATAGTGGAGTGAGGGCCTCCTGGGGGGAGGACAACCTTTGGAACAGGGAGCAGCTCCCCCCTCTCAGGAGGAGGAGTAGGTGGAGGTGAGGCTGGACGGCAGGAGGGGAGAGCCCTGGGGAGCCCCATGTAGATGAAGCTGCCAGAGAGGATGAAAGAACTGCACACCAGGAAAGAAGCAGTGAAGTCTCCTGTCTCATCCCTTAGGAAGCCTGAGAGGAGAGGTAAAGAAATTAGAGTCCTTGAAACCCAGAGACAGAGGGTGGTTGTGAACAGATCTCCTGGCTCAGGTCCTTACCTGACAGGGGAGGTCCCAGGAGTCCCCCCAGGCTCATCAGCATCATCACCAGCCCAGTGGCCTGCACCACACCTCCGATGCCCACTAGCCCCGGGAGCACACCGAAAACCAACGGGGCATAACTCCCAGCACTCAGCCCGTAGGCCCCAGCTGCGGCCAGCAGGGGGCCTCCCCAGCTGTCTCTCCCCACCGCGGGCACCAGTCCCACTGCCAGCAGCCCCAGCCCGGTCAGAGCCCCGAACACGGCCAGCAGTCGTGGAAGGGGCACCCAGCCCTGGTCTGCCAGCCACCCGCAGACCAGCCGAGCGCCCGCATCCCCTACTGCAGCCACAGCTACCACCAGCGCTGCCCCGTAGCCTCCCAGGCCCCGGTCTAAAGCATGGGGAGCCAAGTGCACGTAGGGGATAAAGTACCCGCCCCCAATCAGGGCTGTACCCAGAGCGAAGACTGAAAAGGCCCGGCGCTTGAAGAGACCCAGGCCGAAGGCAGCTAAGGGGCCACGAGGTGGGGTCGAGGGGTCGCCGGGGAGGGCCAGGGGGCGCAGCAGGGCGCCACAGGGAGTGAGGTGGAAGGTAACGGCGCCAAGGAGCAGCAGGGCGCCCCGCCAGCCGAAAGTATCAAGGAGGAGCTGCAAGGCGGGCGCCAAGAGCAGCGAAGAGGCCCCGTTGCCTGTGAGTGCCAGCCCCACCGCCAAGACCCGACGGCGGGAGAAGTAACGGGAGAGGGTGCCAAGGGTAGGGGCGAAGGCCAGGGCCCAGCCGGAGCCTGAAGATGGAAAGGACAGGATGAGGGCAGGAACCCGGGATGTTCGCCCCGGCATTCCCAGCTGCCCGCCTCGTTCGTTCTCACACCCCCAACAAACTCCTATGCCCTCCAACAGCCCTGAAGGACCCGGACATCCCATTCCCCTCACCAGCGAGAAGGCCCAGGCCGAGGTACAGGTGCAGCAGGCTTTGGGCGAAAGCCGAGAAGATGAAGCCCAGCGAAGTAAGGGCGCCCCCAACCATCACCACCGGGCGCGCCCCCCAGCGTGTGCTCAGGGCGCTGCCCACTGGGCCTAGAAGGGGGCGGAGTCAACGAAGACACGCTTCCGGACCCCCAAACTCTCTCCAACACTTCTCATTGGCTGTTGCCGGGCCTAAAACTCCTCCCCTGGCCTAATAGCTCCTCCCCTGACCGCAAGACCCACTCGTTTCTAGAACTCGGGTTGTCTGGAAATCAGGTGGGTCTCCCATCACTACGCTCGCCATCCCTCCACCATGTTCCCGCCTCCCACCTTGGGGGGCCCCCTCACTGGCTGCCTGCTGCACGGCCAAGGCCAGCGCGCTGACCCACGCAGTGTCCTGGGCGCTTCGGTCAAAGTGTTCCGCGAGGTCAGGGAGGGCAAGGCCCAGGGAGCGTAAGACCCCGTAGGAGAGCCCGTTCACTGCGAAGGCTGAGGCTGCCACCACCCAGCCCCAGCCCCCGTCAGGGGGTCCGGCCGTCTTGGGGGTCATCGCCGTCTGCGGGAGTGAACAGACACCTGTGAGTGAAGTCTCCATGCCTGAGCCTCCGCTGAGGAGCTGGCATCTCTGAGATCCAGCATCGGGCTGCTCACCCAGGGTGGGCTCGTCACCCGAGCGTGGGCGCGGGCGGAGGGCGCAGGAATCAGGCCTAGGGATAGAACTCCTGGGTGTGCGCGAGGTACCGGGATAGGGGAAGAGCTGGATCCCCCAGGCCGGGGGATTCCCCTTCCCACACGCACCCTTTCCCCCTTACCCAACCTCTTCGGGCGGTGGGGGGGAGGGTAAGGGCTCCGCCGCGTTTTCTCCGGGCTTCTGCTAGCGGAGCCCTGAAGTGCAGTGCAGAGATGGAGCCCAAGTTGGACCGGTTCTCTCCGTAAACAGAGATCACCGCCGGGGCCTGAGCCACTGGGGACGCGGGGTGCGGAGGGTGGGGGCGAGCTGAGACAGCCAATCAGCGGAGCCACAGGTGAGGCCGGACTCTGAGTCCCAGGGGGATTGAATTATCCGCACACCGCTCTTGGCCTGAGCTGAGAGCGAAGAATGAATCCGGCCCCGCCCGGCTCACGCCCACGCGCCTCCCACAGACTGAGCGCAGAGGAGACGCGTGGATTGCAATCTTTACCAAACCCACGGTGTGCGGCCCACGCATGGAAATAGAGGGTGTCCCCAAAACCAAGAGGATGAGTAGTTCTGTTCTCGGGAGCCTTGCTGAGGATCTGGTAAATCTCGGATATCAATTAAATCCCTGACCTCAAGGGATATCTGCTGCTTGCTCAATAGCATGTCCTCAAGGAGGGAGGGAAGAGGGCTCCCTAATATCTGTGATGTGCCTGGCCTGGCAGTCCTTTTACCGTGTTATCGTTTCATCCTTACAAAAACCCTATGAAAAAGATACCACCCCCACCCCCACCCCCCTTTACAGATGCAGTAACTGAAGCACAGAGAGGGTAGGAATTTGTCCCAAATCACTCAGCTAAAAAAATGGTAGAAATACTTGAATTTAGGTCTGTCCAACTTCGGGCTACAGGGAGAGCAAACCTAGGAATGAAATAGAATCTGCCACAGTTAATGGAAATGGCCTAGAGACAGTTTGGTGCAATCTTCCCTGGAAATGACAGAACCTTTGCAGAGGGAGGGAACTGAAGAGATCTTTGCCATCAGAATCTAAAAACTTAGGCTGGAATTTTAAAAGCAAAGTAAGAAATTGGGGAATTGAATCTAGATGTTGATTTCTTGAAAAACATTAGAATAACTTTTTTTTTTACAGGTTAGCATATCTTTATTTCAGATGTTTAAATCAAGAAATTTGTTCTTTGGTGTAATTATTATTCAATAGCAAGAAAAATTCAGCAATTTACAGATTGGACCGGGCATCTGTTGGCAGCCACATGATGGCAGTGTTTCCTAAATGTTAAGAAAGTATCTGCAATGTAAGGAAAGGCAATGCAAGTGTTTAAAGTTGTGAAACTGTAAATCTAAAAAAAAAAAAAAAAAAGGCATGACCTTTGAGGGCTCTCCATTGCTTATAGGGAGGGGGAAAATCTAATTTCTTTACTTTGTGTATAAGGCTTTTCATAATAAAGACCCAGGTTACCTTTCATTCCATCTTTCTACCACATCACTGCCCTCTTCCACATTCCCAGCCAGTGAATTCTCAGTTGTTTCATGGACATGCCTGGGCTATTCCACAAGAGTCCATCAAAGTTTAAGGTCTTGCCAGGTATACTGTAGAAAAGTGGCCCCACCGGTTTCCCCAGCCTAGTGTACAGGAGCTCCTCAAGCCACCTGGTGAGGACTCTGCCAAAAGCTGAATAAGGCCAACTAAGACTAACCACCTTCTCTCTGTGGTGAAGCAGAAATGAAGTCAGAGAGGAGACTGGGCCCTCTTGGGTCCAAGAGTTGTACCAAGTAATGGTGAGCACTTTTGCAGAATATTTATGAACTTAGAAGGGCATTCCACACCCTGGGATTTGGATGATTTGTTGTAGAAGAGCACATTCTTCTTCTACCTTGTGTTTCCTATATTTTTAATCAAAATTGCCATCTGTTGCTTATGGAGGCAAATATAGCATAGCGACTGGAAGAATGGACCCCCACACTAGACTTCCTGGGTTAGGATCCCAGCTCTGCTGCTGCTTAGCTATATGATTGAAAGCATATTACTCAAGCTCTCTGTGCCTCAGGTTCCTCATTTCTAAAGTGGGTGTAGTAGTAGCTACCTGATACAGTTATCACAGGGATTAGATGAGTCACTGTGTGTTCATGTGTAAGTAAGGGACTTAGAACAGTGCTGGAGTGTGATAGGTGCTGGTCCCCATTGCTGTCACTGTAATACAAGGGAACCTGGCTGGACTCTGTCCTGTTGCCCTTTCCCCACCTGGCTACTCTATAAATGCCTCAAAGTCAAGGAAACGAATTTGTCTGGTGAGTTCCCAGTAGAACCACATGGATTATAAAATGTGAATGTCTATAAAGAGATTAAATGGAAACATTTTTAGTATATATTTGTGATACATAATTTCATTCATCTTGGGAAACTGGTACACGTACATATCACATTTTATTTTTATTCTCCCTTCCCTCTCATCCTCCTCTCACCCTCCTTCCTCAGATCTCCTTCCCATCGCCACAGAGTCTACCCCCGTTTCCTGCCATCTCCCTTTTATTTTGCTCTTTAAGTTATTTATATGTTGGATTTTTCATATATGAGAACCCATGCAATATTTGTTCTTCCGTGTCTGATTTATTTTGCTTAGTATAATGGTTTCAAGATCCATTCATTTTTCTATAAATGACTCAAAGTTATCCTTCTTTATGACCGAGTAGTACTCCATTGTGTATGTATACCACATTTTCTTTATCCATTCATCTGTTGATGGACATATATTCTGGTTTCAAGAGTTAGCTATTATGTTTTGTTTTGTTTTGTTGGTACTGGGGATTGAACTCAGGACCTTGTGCTTGCAAGGCAGGCGCAGTGCCACTGAGCTAAATCTCTAGCCCTAGAGTTAGCTATTATGAACTATGCTACTGTAAACATGGATATGCATGTACTATTGTAATAGGATGACTTTAACTCTTTTGGGAATATAACCAGAAGAAGTATAGATAGGTCAAATGGAATTTTTATTTTTATTTTTTTGAGAAATCTCCATACTGATTTCCTACATGGGAATTTTGGGGGGGTTTTCTTTGCGTTTTGTTTTGTTTTTGTTTTTTGTTTGTTTGAATGTTTTACAAAATTTATGAGAAAATGCTGGTCTCCTTTTCTTGACTCTAAAACAAAGCAGAATGAAGAAGTCAAAATAAGTTTTATTCATTCTTTTATACATGCCTCGTACCATGCTTAGAACTACAAATATGAATAAGATACAATCTCTCTTGTTTCAGCCCCCGCAATTAAATTAGAGAATCAGTCACATAAAGAAAAGAAATAGAACAAGAAGAGGGATGCATGCATGGTAGAGTGCTTGCATGGGAGGAACTGACTCATTGGATTGGGCCTTCTGGGAGGCTTCATAGAAGAGGAGCCCCTGAGCCGGGTCTTGAAGGATGAGTAGAAATTTGCCAGATGAATGTGTGGGCAGGGGCATTCCAGGCAAAGGGAGCAGCTTGTGAAAAATTACATAGGGATGAGAAAGCTTAGTATATTGTTTATTATTTGGGGAGCTGTAAATAGTTGCTGTGTAGAGAACAGACAGTGGGTGGGAGAATAACGTAGGATGAAGCTATTAGGGAAGAAGGTCCAAACGGAAAGGCCTTGGAGACCAAACAAAAGAATTGAAATGTTTTTCCTGAGACTGATACTTCCCCCACATTTCCACTGAAGTAGCATTCACTAATACTGGAAGCTGGACACAGGAGAGAGAACCCACGCCACATTTGGAGGGGTAAGGACAATCTAGGAGGCAGGCCTTTTGTGTGTGGGAAAACTCTGAAATATTTTGTTTTATGTAGAAAATTCACATGGAATTTTAAATTTTACTTTATAACAATATTAATTAATTAATGTATAATTTATTTATTTTTGAGTCAGGGTCTCGCTATGTTTCCTAGGCTAGTCTTGAATTCCTGGCTCAAGCAGTCCTGCTTTGGCCTTGAGTAGCAGGCATGCACCACTGTACCTAACTTTATAAAAATCTCTGATGCATGTTTTCATAGGAAAGTGATGCTTTGATTAAACTATTATGCTACAACTAGACAAATTACCATTTTCTCCCCAAGTTATGAGATCAAATATACTTTATAGCACTATGTATGTACATATTTGTTCCAAGGTTGTTTTGTTTTGTTTTGTTTTTCCTGGCACACTGCAGTTAGAGACGACAGAAGGCTAATGACAGGGCAGAAAGCCTCTTCTGGAAGTATCTCTGACTACACCAGCTCCTAAGCTGCGTACATTTACCTCAGTCAAAACACTGTTAGCCTGCAGTGAAACTGTCCATCCCTTGCATTGTTCCTGCACTGGGGGCTCCGGAGGTAGTACCTTGCATTATTGATCTCTGGATCTTTTACACCCAAAGATGTCAAGGATGACTGATGACTGGCTGAATGAGAGAAACACCAGACAAAGGAGTCATTGTGTAAGTGGACTTGGTGCCTGGTGCTCCATGGCATGTGGCGATATCACAAGAAGGAGTCACTGGTGAACCAAGTTAGTAATGCCTGATGTGGAAAAGCCCCAGAAGCAGATGCTAAGATAACATCTTTAGGGAGATCATAAGAAAGGGTTCAGGACTATATGGACATGATTTGTTTAAGGGACATGGGAGTCTGCCTCGATTTATACACTCTAAAATGGCTATGAAGCTTTCTCATGGGAGTACCTGCTGGAAGTTTCTCTGGGGCCTGTTCTCAGGGAAGCCCTGGACTGAGCCCAGCTATTCCTGGGCACACTCACCAGGGTACTCTCTGTGCGGAAGATGGATAGAGAGGGAAGAGGCAGGCAAGGATGGATAGTGTTAACCACAGGAACATTGCTATATTTCAGAAACTCAGAAAGATAAAGACTTCTGGTGTTTGGCTCAGTTGATCTTGGGCTGCTAAGATCTAACAGAGCTGCCTCCTATCCCTGAATGCCGTCCCCTCAAGCTCTTCCCTTCACCAGCTCTCCAGATCAGCCCACTGGGAAGTCAACACAGATCTCAAGCCCACACCCAGGGGCTGGAAAAGTGGTAGAAGAACATGGCCTTGGAAGGAGATGAGGACACAAAAGTTTGAGTTTGTGACTCAGGGCCATGGGAACCCATCCATCAAGATGGGTAATGCAGCACAAGGGAGATGGGGCTCATTGTACATAGATGACCAGTTGGCTGGATGGGGAACTGACCTGAGTCCCAAGTCTTCTCGGATGGGGGGTAAGGAATCAGCTGAACTTGGAGCTCTCAGGAGCTGGTGATGGGGTTGGCACAGATGAGGCAGCTGGGGGTGAAACTAAGTTGGAGTCATGGTTTAGGATGGGATGAGAATCCTACTCCCAAATGACTCTCATGTTACCTTCTCTACCAAATCTGCCTCTACTAGCCCTTCCAGTCCAGTCCCCATCATGGTCACCACCTCCCCATCCCCATCCCCATCCCCATCCTTTACATGCTGAGGTTCTGTCTGGAGAATCTGACTCCTGGATTTCTTATGAAAGCCTAGCATATTTTGGTTCTGGAACTTTGGCCAACATTTATTTTAAAGTTCTTAGTTTGAATCCCCAGATAGTTACTCTGACTTATTTAAGGAAATAAATTATTAAAGGATATTGGGTAGCTCACAAAATCATCAAGAAGGCTGCAGACCTAGGTTTGGCAGGAGCACAGACTACCACACATCTAAATGAGTTGCTAAAGCCACTGCTGGGACACTAGATGTCGCTGCTGGCCGCTGCCTG